CATTGAAGGGTGGTTTCTAATTGGTCACACTGGCGGGTAGTGCAGGCATAACTGGTTGTCACGGTGTCTCCCTTTTGTAATTATCATAAAGCCAACAGCGCGTTGGTCCTTACAGCTCTGTAGATTGTGCAATTACAGGGTTTCCAAATGCTCCTGGAAATCTTGGGGTTCCCATAAGTATACCCTCCTCTTGTTGCCTTGTGGTTCTGTTTCAATTTCATTGCTGTATATCTGGGATGGGGATAATGCAAGTTGTATGTAGCACCAAAGTTGGTTTTATGGCCCCTTGAGTTCCTCATTGGCAAATGATTCCGACCCCACCCCATTGTTCATTTTTTTGCTACATAGGATAAAATTGTCTTTCTAATGGAGTTGACAACACCCCTTAAAACATTATCGTGATTCCTTCACCTCATGAGAGAATTTTTATTATATTTTAATAGTTAAGCGGCAAGATTTATTCAGCTTATAAGTAGCATGTGTGAATAGTACCTGTTAACAAAAATCTCTGTTTTTATTGTAGATTCATTGGTTTTCAATCTTCAATTCTTTTATGATGGTTATTTTCCTGGTGGGCTTGGTTTCTATGATTTTAATGAGGACATTGAGAAAAGATTATGCACGGTACAGTAAAGAAGAAGAAATGGATGATATGGTAAATGTTTTGCTTAGGTTTTTTAAAATAAGAGTGTGTGGACTATTTTTGCAGTCAAGGAACTATCTCCAAAATAGATTTTTTTTTCCGGTCAGTCTGAAATGTAGTGCGTCTTGCAGTCCATTTCAAGACCCAAACCGAGAAAGTTTGAATGTGCTTGCTGCAGGTTGAGACATGTGGATAACTCATCGCCCAGGTTGCATGTGATAGAAGAAAATGGGTTTTCATAGTGACTTAATGAGTTCTGTGTTCCTTATATTTAATTTGGTTTAGGAGTGGGGAGTGTGTGGTTTTGAAGATGCTGCTCGTCCATTCTCTCTGGTTTGATTGCATGTCATTTTATTATGCAAGATAACCCAGATTGTTGGGAAACATCTTGGAATACTGTTTGCTAATTCCTTGGTATCCTTTTGTGATGAAAGAACACAAGTATGTTGTTACAATAGACAGCTTTCCCAAAAGCTTGGCAGGCCTTCACATTTTAGTAGTTTGAGACACTCAAAGTGCACTGCTATGCACCACATACTGATGTAGACAATCAAGCTATTACATGGCTGTCGGTGGAACCCCAAGATGTAATTGCCGCTCACAAGCATAATCTCATCAGCTAAAGCTCTCTCTGACTTAAAGCCACATCAGACTATATAAGATCAGGAATAAACAATTGCAATCATTTGAAGACCACCAGAGAGCTAATAACCACCATCCCCATTTCCAAACTGCAAGGGAAAAAATGACCACAAATCACAGTACTTCAGTCTCCTTTCTATATGTACCAATTGGAGATAAGCAAAATTTTCTGAAGGAAAATATCTTCCTTTGGTATAGTTTTTGAGACTTCTTCCAGTTTAAAACTGAGAGACAGTTAAATAATTTGAGGCTGGGCTAATCTGCCCTTTGTTGCTGCTCTTGCTGGGATGGAGAGGGAACAGTTTGCGAGCATATTGTTCAATTTGTGCACGTAGAGTAAAGCCAGATTGTTCTTCCTCTTGCCTTTGCAACTGCGTGTGACTGCCAGCTGCAGTTCTTTTGAAAGGAAGAAGTGAGTTCTCTCCAGCTCATGTTTTTCAAATCAGTGGCTGGAGTACAGTGGAAGTAGTACATCAAACTGGTTACACTATGCCAGTACACTATGCCACTAAGTTTTCAGCACATGAAACTTCCTTGTATAACCTTGGTTCATATGCTCAAACAGTCTACACTGATAGAGAGTAGCTCTCTAGGTTAGAGATAAGAGTCTTTCTTGGGTCTTCTTGCAGATGTAAACAATTAAACCTAGAAATGTAGTATTAAGATTTATTAAATGCAAGAGAATGTAGCCAGAAGATAACTCATAAGCACCTTCAGAAACAAAAATAGAGTATGCATGTATGTTTGCAATAAACACTTTTCACATTTTCTTGTTTTCTGTATAGTCATGCTTGTGCCTGTTACTTAATAGTCCAGAACCCTCATTACAAAGTGCCAGCATCCAAAATAAGTTTCCAAGATTGCCTATTTTCATGTTTCCTTTCAAAGAAAATGAATTTCATGTTTCTCAAACTGTCTATGATGTTTCTCAAAAGTAAATTGATCGTGTTGGAGTTATACTTGACAAGTTTTGCTCTATATCAGTGGTAGTAACTTCTGTTCTAGACATAAGTCTTGTTTTCTCTTTTTTCTTAAATGAATTCAGCCTCTTTTTGATTACCTTTCTCCAAATTATGTTTTGTGCAGGATAGAGATCTGGGCGATGAATATGGATGGAAGCAAGTTCATGGAGATGTCTTCAGACCGTCTAGCCATCCTTTAATATTCTCATCCCTTATTGGTTCTGGTTGCCAGATCTTTGCAGTTTCTTTCATAGTGATCATTGTTGCAATGCTGGAGGATTTATATACAGAGTGAGTAATGTCTCCTGTTTTCATCATAATTTAAAAACCTTGCCTGTGATCCAAAAAACCACCTATCTATTTAGCTCTTTCTGGGACTCTTTTTGAGCTTTAAAATAATTAGACTGCAGTTATAATCTCTTTGATGATGATGACGATGATGAGGACGACGACCTTTTTAAGGAATGTCCAGATAGAGAATATTCAGAAGTGGTTTACCATTCCCTTCTTCTGGGGGTGCTCTGGGACTGTGCAACTTGCCCAAGACCACATAGGCTGGCTCTACTGGCAGGAGGCACAGTGGAGAAGTGAAATCCCAACCTCTGGCTCTGCATCCAGATACCTAAACCACTGAGCGATCCAGTGAGCTCTTTAACTTTTATTTACTGTCAGATACATGTATTTCACATCAATGATTTGATTTAAGGAACCAGATAAGATAATTCACTGAGCCGAACTGATCAGGCATTTGTTACTGATTTTTATGCTCCCTGTCTGACCTCTGCAGTGTGTTCAGTTTAGATTCTCAATCATCAGGTCTGATTTCACTTGCTACTGATCAGAGCAATTTCAGCCAGTCTGATACATTATACTGCATTTACTATTTGAGAAGTTTATCTGTTGCCTCTTTACAATGAAAAAAAGACATTCTAGGCAGCTATGAAAACAAGTATCTAGCCGACTTGGAAAGTGGGATGGCATGTATGACTCTTTGTTTCTAAATACAGTCAATTTTTACCTTTTTCATCCATTCACTTTGTGGGAGAAGAGAATTCTGAAACCTGTAGATTTTTATTGGGAAGGACAGCTTTTAACTGACTCTCCCCTATCACTACCAAACAAAATCATTTGTTCCATTTCTTTTTAGACCAAACGATATAGTGAGAACAAACAAACAATCTAGCATGTGGGAAAACATCTAATCTCGTTTCCCAGTAGAATCTCTAAGTCAAATATAGGAATGAGTGAGATACTAAGCAACTTGCACGGGAAAGGAAATAAAATGACTTTCTGATTAGATTTTTTATTTTAACTATTCAAACTTACATAGAAGCTATTTAGTGCAAAATACAAACTTCCCCCAGTTTGTGGAAGAAAAATTCTTAAAACAGCACAAGCATCTTTCTGTCCCCGGAATCAAGAGGGCTGATAACAGATGTAGTGGAGAAAAAGACACCCAGTCCATCCGCTGTGACTGAAGCCTCTTTATTTGGGTGTTATTTGCCAGCATTGTGAGCATGGTTAGAGGTGTCCACTTAGCTCCATCACCTCCATTGTTGCTTTGTTCGTGGTTTCTTTGCTGAATTTGAAGAGGAGGGGATTGCGTCTCACATGTAGGCTCTACATGCAAGCAAGAACCCAGATTTACCAGGGTTCCTCATGTAGAGAGCCTGCATGTGAGCAGCAGCCTCCCCCCTCTTCAGATTCAATGCAGAAGCTATGAACAAAGCATACTGAAACATACATAGTTCTGAGTTCAGTTAGTCAGCAGCAAATTTAAAATGTAAACCCTGCAGTCAAAAATGCATCTTGCAGCTTGGAAGAAGTAAGTTGCTTTGTTGAACATAGAAGCCTGGGTTAAAGAGGCAAGATTATCTGCCAATACCTGCAGCTGTGCCAAGACAGCACAGGTTTCAGTGGCATTGTTGGTAGCCAGAGTATCTCCAGTCCATGTAGTTGGTGTGTGCAGTGCACACCTTTTGTGCCCATTGTGGTTATGGGTACCAAAGCAACGCAGATTATGCCTACTTGTTTAATTTTACCAGATCCTTTTTCACTTTGAAGGCTGAACTAGATGTGACACAGGAATTCAGAGTAGATGGTATCTCCCACAGCACTAAGTAGGAAGCAGCAGGACAATTACAAGCTCAGATCAGAACTGCCCTAATAAGCTGGACATTAAGCCTTTTCATCTTTATTTTCACAAGTAAACTGTCCATTGATCTGCTATTTAGTATGTAGAGAAAAACTCTACAGAGATCCAGCTGCAACTCCTATCCATCCACATTAGGATCTTCTGACCTGAGTCCAATTGTTAGTCTCAACTAAAGTAGACCCATTGAATCAAATCATGTAAATACAGTGATTCAATGAGATGGCTTTAGTTTAGACTTTCAGTTGAATTCAGACCTCTGTTTACAGATCTCCTGGATCAAATATTTGGTCCTCACAATGATAGGAGAATGTATTTGTGAATAAATTACCCAGGTCCTTGCAGTCTAAAAATACTTTGACTTTGGAATTTCTGTTAGATGAGCTCTGTCATCATGATGTCATGTTGACCATGAAGAGAGAAAAAAACAGTTTGGTTCTGGCTCTGCTAGTACTAACAGTGACAATGATACCAGTCTTCTTTGCTGTAAAAAATTATATTGAATTATAAGGGTATAGTAGTTAGGAAATATTTTGGTAAAGGGGTTTTCGGTTTCTTTGGGTTTTTGTTTGTGTGTATGTTTTATGCAATGAGCTAGCTGAGTTATTTGAAGCGTGCTAATAATAGTTGGCTCTGACCTAACGCAGTGTATTTGTATTACCAAGCAAAACTTATTTTCAGTATTTTTTTTCTCCTGGTGCATGTCTCACTGTAGGTGGTTTTGTGTATTTTGCACTGGCTAAAACTAAACATTCAACGTTTATTTTATGGTGTGCTTGTTGTAATTTTTTTGTTCAGTAAATTTCAGACAATCATTTGTGTTATAGCCAAAAATACATGTCTCTCATTTTAGGAGAGGATCAATGCTAAGTACCGCTATTTTTGTTTATGCTGCAACATCCCCAGTGAATGGCTACTTTGGAGGAAGCCTTTATGCCAGACAAGGAGGTGAGTTTTTTTACTCTAATTTTTATTGCACCATATTGAAGGTGACCAGAAAGGAATTTAACAAATACCTTCCCCTGCCCGAGATGTTGCTGTTGACTTGTTGGGATTATCTGCAACAGTTGTAAATTTTCTGGATTCCACTTACAAAATAAATTAACATTTTGGCTACATTTTAACTTATTTTCATCAGACATTGAAGTTGCCTGGCAGTTGTAAATTGTCTGGATTCCACTTACAAAGTAAATTAACATTTTGGCTACATTTTATTTTCATCAGACATTGAAGTTGCCTGGAAGTTCATAGTACTTGTAGCTAGTTCTTAGAACAATAATTACACGTAGTATTTGTAGCTAGTTCTTAGAACAATAATTACAGTATTCTACCTAGTAATTTGTGGACATTTGTTTGAATCTAGCAGTTGCTGATACATTTAAGAAAGGAGAAGCGGAGAAATTAGGCTCTCACCATGAGAGAAAGAGAGGAATTTTACACAAGAGGGAAAATGTCAGAAAGTTGCTAATCTGCTTGAATCCAAAATAGATTTTATGTAGTAGCAAAGTGCATGGCTTCATCGGGAGTGCCATAATTGCCAGATACTTCCTCCTCCTCCTCCCCAAGCAAAGCCACTTTTGTCTGTTCCAGCAGGGTTAGTTGTCTGTAGGTCAAGTTGTGCAGACTTGCTGGAACCAGCAAAGAACTCTTTGAGGAAGGGTTCAGTGTGTTTGCCTTGTGGAGTCCACTGGAGAAGAGGAAAGAAGTTTGCCACAATACTTGAAAAACGTTGTCACTGAGGAGATGCTACAGTATTTTCCCATTGTTCCAGTGTTTCCTATTTTGCTATGCCAGGCAACCCTGTTTTAGGGTCTGCCTAAGGCTTGAAACCATCATTTCTAAAGCAGCAGCAAATTCAACTTTTATTGGTTGGTTTTATTTCTTCAAATATTTCTACACGGGGGGTGGGTTCAAGACATTAAAACAATATAATCTAAAATATGAATTAAAAGAATCTAGAGCAATTAGAGTAGCCAAAACAGTAAAAACAATTTAAATGACAAGGCCACATTCATTTAAATGCATCCTGGAATAACCAAATCTTTAAGATCCAGTTAAAAGCAACCAGAAAGGAAACCTTGTGTCCACCCCATGGTAAGGTGTCCCATAAGGATAAGACCAGCAGAAAAGAGGTGCTTCTCATCCTCAGTATCCTCTCGGTCTGGCTCATTTGGAGGCACATGAGCTGAGCCCCTCTGGCAGATATTAAGGTGGGCACAACTTCAAATGGATGGAGGCAGTAGCTTGGATGACTTGGTCTCAAACCATATATGGCTTCTGCCAGATAATCACAGCACTTTAAACAGAGTCTGGCAACATGCTAGAAAAATGGAGGATCAACTTTATATTGTTTAGTCACCTGTAAGCAACCAGGCAGCATCATCCTGAGCAGCTAGAGTCCCTAAAATTAAATTATTTATGAGGAAAGATCCACATTAGAACACCACACAGTAAACAAGTTTGGATGTGCCCATGACATGAATGGCCACAGTAAGTCATGTTTTCTCCAGAACCAGGGGTACAGTGGGCAGTGGATGAAACTGCTGCTGATGACTTTCCCATCACTTTCCCTGGTAACTGACATCATCTGAATAGGATATGGCATTGAGTCTAGAACAGTGTTTTGCCAACCTTTTTCAAGTTACGCCCCCCTGTTATAATAGCCAAGAAACAGGCGACCTCCCTCCACATTTACATGAAAAACGATTTTTATGGGTAAAGAAAACACATTATTCAGAATATAATTATAACAGAAGAGATTAATACTAATGTAACAGTACACCACATTTCAAGAAGGATGCTCCTGATAAATTGGAACAAGTTCAGAAGACAGCAACAAGAAAGCTTGGAAACCAAGCTCTGTGAGGAAAAACTGAGCATGTTTAGCCTTGAGAAAAGAAAACTGAGAGGAGATATGATAGCACTTTTCAAATACATGAAAGGCTGTCATACAGAGGAGGGGCAGGATCTCCTCTTCTCAATCATCCCAGAGTGCAGGACACGTAACAATGGGCTCAAGTTACAGGAAGCCAGATTTTGGTTGAATATCAGGAAAAACTTCCCAAGTGTTAGAGCAGTACAGCAGTGGAACCAGTTACATCAGGAGGTAGTATGTGCTGGACGCATTCAAAAGAAAATTGGACAAGCATCTGTCAGATATACTTTGATTTGGATTCCTGCATTGAGCAAGGGGTTGGTCTTGATGGCCTTGTTGGCCCCTTCTAGTTTCTTGATTCTATGATTCTGTGTTGGGCTGTAAATCTACCTCTACCAAATAAATTTGTTGGCGTGGGGCCAAAACTCTGGAGTCTTAATGAGGCTCTGGCCTCAAGAAAACGTCTTAGTGTATGGTTGAATGTGAGGCTTGGCAAGAGCACTCTGTTTAAAAGACAAGCCTTGAAACTTAAGGACACCAGTTATACAGAGCCTCCTATCAGACTGCTTCCATTCTTCCCACTTAACTTTAGCAAAGTAAGAGACTTAAAAGATTGAGAGACTTAGACATGGGGAGAAAATAACATGAGAGAGTGCTAAGTGATTATAATATAATATATTGGTTATGGCTACACATATATACAAGGCAAGATACATTTGGCATAGTAACATTCAGAGCATTGACATAGAAGTAAATGACCACCAGACTTACTGCTGAGTGGTAAGGTCTGTTCTGTCTCTGTTACATTTATACACAGAACAACCAATCACATTTCACCATTACATCTCGTCTTGCTTTACAATCAAGCATTACATCATCTTCTTTCACCTATATGCTGCAAGTCATTAGATTGGCTTTTACCTTACATAGGTGACTCTGCACTTCATTACAATATTAAAATTTAACTCCCTGTTCACCAAAAGAACAAAATCCTGACAAAATTGGGGAGGGAAAATAACTACACTTTGAGTTTGATGTACTATTTTGGGTGTAGAAACAACCTTCCATGTCTCCTCCCCCCCAAAAAGACCCCTCAGTGAAGAGCTCCTCCCCCCTCAAGGCCAAATAAACATCTCCCCCATGAGCCCCACCCCCTCCCTGGTTTTCCTTCTTTACCTTTTTGCCTTTCTCTTCCATGACACAGGCAGGACCCAAAGGCGTCTGCCCACCCATGTCCTCTGTCCCTTCACTGCACTGCCATTGCCTCACCTGGAAGAGGAAGAGACTTATGCATAGCAAAATGTGCCACTGCTGTAGCAGAAAATAACTTTTCAGTTCTGCTGTCATCTTGGGTGTCAGCATTCCCTGTTTGCACCATGCACTTGTCAGGCTAACATTTGAGTCTGAAGGGCTAATGTCAGTTTTTCAAAGGTGAATGTGAAGGAGCAGAGAGAAATACAGTGGTGCCCCGCGTAGCGATGATAATCCGTTCTGGAAAAATCGTCGCTATATGGATTTGTTGCTGTGCGGAACACAAAGCCCATAGGAATGCATTAAAACACGTTTAATGTGTTCCTATGGGCAAAAAACGCCATTTTCGCTGCCTGGTAAGCAAGGAAAGAGCGTGAAAACAGTGCGGGCGGCCATTTTTTTAACCTGGTGGCCATTTTGGAACCGCCGATCAGCTGTTAGAAAAAACATCGCTGTGCGAAAATCGGTAAGCGAAACAGCTTACTGATCGTCGCAAAGCGATGTTTTACCATTTAAAACATCACAATGCGATTGCAAAAAAGCCATTGCTATTCGGATTTGTTGTTAAACGGGGTGCCCGTTATGCGGGGCACCACTGTAAGTGACTCAGCCTTTTGCCGACCTCAGAAGGATAGAAGGCTGAGTCAACTTCCAGCCACTACATGGGATTGAATATGGGTCATGAACAGAGTTTTGGCTGCAGTACTGCAGTTTAACCACTGCACCATGAAGCTCTTAAGCCTTGCTTTCTTTGGCTTTACCCTTTCCATTACTGCCTCCAGACACCTTTTCAGTGGTTTCCAGAATCTCCCGATAACTAGTTGATAGAAATTAAGAGGCAGACCTGCTTGTCATCCACATCTGCTTTCCTCACATGTGCGTCATGTATATCTGTCATTCAGACACTCTTGCATGATGTGCATCTCACAAACACATATATATAGTACATCAAACAACTCTTTCTTGTGTACACTGTCATGTATATCTGTCATTCAGACATTCTTGCATGATGTGCATCTCACAAACACACATATATATAGCCACTGGTGTACATCAAACAACTCTTTCTTGTGTACACACACCTCTCATGGTGCTCAGGCACATACATACCTATTTTGCAGGCCTCTCATACGTTCATGCACACACTTCTGTATATGTGCACTTCTGTTACATATGCTACACTCAGAAACACAATACAGTGGTGCCTCGCATAACGAGCGCACCGTTTAACGACGAATCCGCATAGCGATCTATTTTTTAGATCGCTAATGCGATTGCATTGCGATGTTTTAATGGGCAAAACATCGCATTGCGATGATCGGTAAGCGTTTCGCTTACTGATCTTCGCATTGCGATGTTTCTAAAACAGCTGATCGGTGGTTCCAAAATGGCCGCTGAGTGCCCAAAATGGCTGCCGCAACCATTTTCACACGATTTCCTCGCTTACCGAGGGCGTGAAAATGGCGGCGCTATGGAGGAACTTCACATAAGGGTGAGTTTGGGCCCCATAGGAACCCAATGGGGTTTTTAGTTCCGTTTTGCGATGTTTCCGGATAGCGACGATTAATCCGGAACAGATTAACGTCGCTATGCGGGGCACCACTGTACCAACCCTTGTTTGCTGTACTGTTGCACAGCAAATTTTAGTTGGTACAACTTTTCATATGAAAGCACCAAGGTTAATAATTAAGACACTGCTTTGTATGACTGATATTCTTGGTTGTGATCTACCTCTAGGTGTATGAGGGAAAAATTAGGGTTGAACAACTGACCTTCTTATTTTATGATGCTGCTAAAGAGTCTAAACTAGACCTGATGCGAAATGGTTTCACAGAATACTTGCATCAGTCTTGCAGTTTTGGTCTTGCTTAAAATCAGCCAACTTTTCCTCAAGCAAGGAAAAGGATTCCCAAATTTACATTCAAAATAACAAAATATTTCCTCATTAGAATCAGTCTCCAGCCACACTGGAACATTATTGGGCTTTTTTGAGGAATACATCATTATCAACGTACCCTTTAGTTTTCTGCCTGCCTCTCTTGCGCATGACTTCACTCCTCCGTGCACGCATGACTCTGCCCCCCCCCCAAGTGCAGGGTTCAGTTACAACCAGAACCAAAGGATCTGAAAATAGAGGAGGAGGAAAGCTTCATGGAGGGGGTGGAGTTGTGTGCAAGCAGGTGCACATCATAGAGTTAACCTTGATCATGATGGTCCTTAGATATTAAAATCTCTGCTTCAGATTTTTAGCAAGGTACCACTTCCTATTTTGTCCAGGTCTAGAATACTGATTTGTTTGTTAGCTTGTTAAGAAACAAGGATATTGTTATAAAGCAGTGGTTCCCAACCTTGACTCCCCAGAGGATATTGTTATAAAGCAGTGGTCCCAACCTTGACTCCCCCGATGTCCTTGGACTGAAACTCCCAGAAACCTTCACCACTAGCAGTGCTGGCCAGGATTTCTGGGAGTTGTAATCCAAGAACATCGGGGGACTCCAGGTTCAGAATCACTGTTCTAAAGCTTTCAGTGCTGTATTCTATCTTCTTTTATCTAATAAACATTGGCAGTTAAATTGTATCTCATTAAACAGTGTCTTTTGGGTTATGGTAATCTGAACCACAAATGAACTGGAATCTTCTTCTTTGTAGGAAGACGATGGATAAAGCAGATGTTCATTGGGGCATTTCTTATTCCTGCAATGGTGTGTGGCACAGCCTTCTTCATTAATTTCATTGCAATTTATTATCATGCATCAAGGGCTATTCCCTTTGGGACAATGGTGAGTACTTTTAATTAGCACTTTATGCTTAAGCAATTAAATTATATTGCTGTTACCCTCCAACTGCAGAAAATAGGCAGTAATTTGAATGCAAAGCTTTTAAGTTTCTAAAAGTGTTTGGAATTTTTAAACTCCAGACAGTAGGACAAGGAGCAATGGTTTCAAGCTACAGGAAAAGAGATTCCACCTGAATCTCAGGAAGAACTCCCTGACAGTCAGAGCTGGTTGGCAGTGGAATAGGCTGCTTCGGAGTGTGGTGGAGTCTCCTTCTTTGGAGGTGTTTAAGCAGAGGCTGGATGGCCATCTATCTGTCGGGAGTGCTTTGATGGAGTTCCTGCATGGCAGAGGGTTGGACTCAATGGCCCCTGTGCTTTCTTCCAGCTCCGTGATTCTATGCTTCTAAGTAGAACAGATCAACAGCAAAGTGGGAAACTTTGGTTTAATAATCCATTTTGAAAATTTAGTTCTAAAATGGATTTAAGAGATTTTATAGGAATTATATATGTATCTGAGTGATTTTTGGGGTGGGAAAACTTCTTGTTACTTCAAACTCAGTTATTTGGATCATCCTGCATAGTGTTACTTCATATGTTCTTAGCACATATTTAACTCCTATACATTCTGAGACTCACCTGTGAGGGATCTTTGAACCATAGCAATATGTGCTTTAACATGCCCACATTAAGTTAATCAGCAGAGGAATTTTACTGGAGAAATAAGCATTAAAACATACACAATTGCAATGGAGTATAGCAAAGGTTACAATAAAGCTGTGTGAATGGAAATAAAATACATTTACCTCAGAAACAGTAGGGAATATTAAACTCAAAGTCCAGCAAACTCACAAGACTTGAGATGATTCTGAAATAAGCAGTTTGGGCTTAAGTAGCTGCAAGGGAGAAAGGAAGACCAGGTGTTTTCATAACCACACAAAGAAAAAAGGAGCACAGCAATGTGTGGCTGCCGGCCATTACGAAGCTTCGTTGAACGGTGAGTATTTGGCCCATTTGGAACGCATTAAACGATGTTTAATGCGTTCCAATTGGTTTTTTTGATCCGTTCAACGATGCTTCAGCATAGCGAAGGTTAATCCGGAACGGATTAACCTCGCTATGCGAGGCACCACTGTATATATGTATCTGAGTGATTTTTGGGGTGGGAAAACTTCTCGTTACTTCAAACTCAGTTATTTGGATCATCCTGCATAGTGTTACTTCATATGTTCTTAGCACATATTTAACTCCTATACATTCTGAGACTCACCTGTGAGGGATCTTTGAACCATAGCAATATGTGCTTTAACATGCCCACATTAAGTTAATCAGCAGAGGAATTTTACTGGAGAAATAAGCATTAAAACATACACAATTGCAATGGAGTATAGCAAAGGTTACAATAAAGCTGTGTGAATGGAAATAAAATACATTTACCTCAGAAACAGTAGGGAATATTAAACTCAAAGTCCAGCAAACTCACAAGACTTGAGATGATTCTGAAATAAGCAGTTTGGGCTTAAGTAGCTGCAAGGGAGAAAGAAAGACCAGGTGTTTTCATAACCACACAAAGAAAAAAGGAGCACAGCAATGTGTGGAGAAATACTCCTGAAGGTAGATTTAGAAGGGACAGAAATTATCTCTCCTTGGCCTGTCTTGAAGCTGGATGGCATTCTCATTCTAAATGGATGAAAGCAAAAGGAAGTATTGGGTAGAGATCCCAAGAAAGGGCAGACTACCAAAGGTCCTAGCCAGAACTAGAAATTTAGAAGAGAGAAATGATAACTCACTGGTCTAAGTGTCTGGCTGTGGAGCCAGAGGTTGGGTGTTTGATTCTCTCTGAGGACCAGCTAAGTATCAAAGGGCAATGAAATGGCTAAATGTCCAAATGACTTTCTAGGGAAGTATTTTTTGCAGTATTTTGTTTAAGAAGGGGCTCAACACCCTGGACTGATTACTATTCTAATGTCCAAGATACAGGATACTTGCATCTGTAAGATGAGCCTCTTTCCTTGGGATAGTTATGCTGGATATCTCACTGATTGCACTAAATACATTTTGGGAGCAGACTCTATTGAATGGGATTGTTCAAAGTTATACTTTCTCTTATTTTCTATGCCCAGGAGGCCTATTTAATAATCTGACCAGCAAGACTTCTTTTTCCCATTTTTGCTCAGTTCCTTTCAGTTCTGGGACTAAAACACCCATAACATTGTCCCTTCCTAGCAAGTTTCCGATGTTAACCAGCAGCTGTGCTGTGTAAAAGCACGCATACACAGAAGAACCCCATAGCAAAAATAACATTTTGCAGAGGTGTTGCTCAAATTTAGTAATTCAATAACAATAGGACTGTTTAGTTTCTTTTCATTTATCCGTTTGATATGACCCTAGATGTAATTGTCATTTACAAACTCTTGTATGCTATTTTGTAATTCAAAGTTCACTTTTTGATCTTTTAAAAGAGTGTCTTATAGCTTTCCAGCTACTTAACTACCTTATGGTAGTTTAAATGTATTCATATTTTCATCTTCCATGGGAAAGAGAGCATCTAAGGCCCTGCGGATACAGATACTTATCACAAAGACCAACCCAGTGGGTGCAAGGAGTTCTGTCTGTTGCCCTTGCCCATGCTGCCAAGGCTAGTAGATAAAAAAAAATAACATGTTCCAAGCTGTCACTCCTCCCCCCCGTTTTTTCTGTAAAGACCTTCAGTTAAGAAATTCCTGCTCAGAAACACAGCTGTGCCCAGACTAAGTAAAAATGCAAGGCCATTTATAGGAGGGATTGGGAACCTCTAGCCCTCCAGATGTTGGTGTATTACAATCCCTGTGAACTCCAGCTATAATATTAGACTGATGGTTAGGAGAGTTTAGATACGTCCAGACAGGTACTGTCTTGTCTTGTAGAATAAATATTGTCATTATCATTAAAATTATTTATTTATTTATTTATTTATAAAAATGCAAGGCCATTTATAGGAGGGATTGGGAACCTCTAGCCCTCCAGATGTTGGTGTATTACAATCCCTGTGAACTCCAGCTATAATATTAGACTGATGGTTAGGAGAGTTTAGATACGTCCAGACAGGTACTGTCTTGTCTTGTAGAATAAATATTGTCATTATCATTAAAATTATTTATTTATTTATTTATTTATTTATTTATTGAAAGACAACAGTAATAATACAATTCAAGGTGGCAAAGGTAATCAGGTGATGACAGGAGGGAAAGCCTACCTAAAGAGCCAGGTCTTAAGTGTGCTCTTAAAAACATCCAGCAAGAGAGCTAGGCAGATCTCTGTGGGCAGACTGTTCTAGAGGTGAGGGGCCACTGCTGAGAAGGCCTGGTTTCTTGTTCTTTCTCTTTGGGTCTCCTTCGGCATTAGGCCCCTCAGCTGCCCTTCTTGGTCAGAATGAGTGATTTGGGTAGATCTAGGTGGGAGGAGGCGTTCTGCCAGATATCGAGGTCCTAAACCATTTAGGGCTTTATATTTATTTATGTATTAGGCAGAGCAGTTCCTTTCACTGAAAATAAGCTGGCATTACTGTAATAGATGTTTGTGCTTAACATTAGATGCATTTATGTCCTTCTTGTGTGACTATGAGTTTACAGGTGGCAGTATGTTGCATCTGCTTCTTCGTGATTCTTCCCTTGAACCTTGTTGGAACAATACTTGGGCGGAATCTTTCGGGTCAACCAAACTTCCCCTGTCGAGTCAATGCTGTTCCTCGTCCAATCCCTGAGAAAAAATGGTAAAATGCATATAGAACTACTTTGCATCTGTATATCTGATGAAGTTATTTGCCCATGAAACTAATTATTGATTTACTTAGTAATATGTGGATTACACTTTTTTCACAAATGTCTGCAAAGAAATGTACATTAAGATTCAAAACATTTGATCTTTGTTATTGTTTTATATTGTTTATTTTATTATTGTTGTACGCTGCTTTGAAATTATTGGATCTGTGCAGTAAATAACTGTTGCCAGATTGGACAGACTCTGGGAACAGTTGCAAACTGGTGAATGAAACATAGCAACACAAACACATTCCTTGCCACAGTCGCCACCTGAATGTCCAGGTGTAGGGTCAGTGTAGGATCAAGGGGTATATCTAGGCTACAAACGTGATCTTTTAGGGAGGGGAACACATCCCCTTCTAGGACAAACTGAATCCCAGTTCCTATTCCAGTCTTCTACTGACTAATAGCACAAGCATTCTGCCTGTTCTCAGTTTCAGGTTGTTAATTCTCATCTTCTTTCTTTTTTTTCGGGGCCGGGGAGTTTAACTGCAAAGGGTTAGACAGACTTCCAGATGTATATCTGAGTGAGAGGAAGCAGTGTGGAACCCAATATAATGTATTGTGGAAGATTAGAGCCACAGTCATATTTTAGGGCTAACAGTGGTACTCTGCATAAGTGGATTGCAGACAACCCAGCGCTCTAATCCAGAGGAGCACTGATCGCTTGCAAAGCACAGCTAACTCAGCAGCACATCTGCAGTTCATTTTAGACAGATGCTGATAGAATTGAGACTCCCACAATCTGAAACTTCGTGAAGTGATCAAAGACATTAGTTAACCACCAATGTATCCTTAAATCAGCTATGACCTTCTGTTGTTTTCCGTGAGTTCCAAATAATTTTCAGTGTACTGATTTTTTACCACTTCTTTTCTTTGAGTTAGGCTAACTCTGGTTTCTTTTCAGGTTTATGGAACCAGCTGTTATTGTTTGCTTGGGTGGGATTCTGCCATTTGGATCAATTTTCATTGAAATGTGAGTCTTTCACCAAGAGACATTTACAGATAGTTTATTGGCAATGTGTTTGCCAACCTCATATAATTAAAGGTACAGGTCAATACAATAAATAAGACTTTCTTTATCTTTAGGTATTTTATCTTCACCTCCTTCTGGGCTTATAAAATCTATTACGTCTATGGTTTCATGATGTTAGTACTCGTTATCCTCTGCATTGTTACTGTGTGTGTGACAATCGTGTGTACATATTTTCTACTGAATGCAGAAGATTATCGGTGGTAAGTAGTGTTGAGGTGATGGTTGTTATTTCAGTTTCTTATGTGCCTGCTTTGGGGTGGAAAAGTTGAAAAACGAAACAGTCAGTATACTATTAATATATACTATGCCTTCCCCCTGAAACCACATATCATAGAGATTTTTAGAAAACTGGCATTATTATGCCCATGAATTCATGGGCATAATAATGGCAGTTTTCTAAAAATGAGTCAGTCATATGCTATTGTATGCTTGGGAATAGAGGAGTATCTTAACCTGTCACTGAACAGAAGATACTGTTGGGCAGTAGACAGGCCTGAGTGGGGAGAATGTCTAATTGATTGGAGGGTGCAACAGAAAAGGCCTTCTTGCCACTCACTGTCCATAAAGGGTATCAGATATTGGTTTCATAATCAACATATGCAGGGTGGTGATGGGAAAAGAAATCTTCAAATTCTCGGTCCTAAGCTAGTAAGGTTTTATAATTTATAAGCAGTGCCTTTAAATTTATCAACAGCCGGTGCATCCAGGAAAGAGCAGGTGTTGTACTCTCTTGTCTTTATCCTCAGCTGTAGTTGCTGCATTCTGGTCTAGTTACATTTCGGAAGCCATCTTCAAAGTTAGTCCCGATGTAGAGCACATTGCAGTAACCTAGTTTGAAATTACCAAGGCAAAGTTCACTTAAGCCAGGTTATCCCTAGCTTTGTTGTCGATGTGTCTGTTTAGTTGACTATTCAGTCTTCACCAACTCAAGGCCAGACAAAATGTTTTCCTATTTAAATGATGGGTCTGCAACATTAAATACATTCTGGTTTATTGATGCGTAAAAGCAACAGAGCTGGGAAATGGGAGTAGTTCCAGAAGAGCCCATCCATAGAATGGAAGTGCCAGTGAAGTGGTATGTGACTAGATATACAGGTGGTGACTTGATAGCTAACATTGGTTCTTCCCTGTGATTCATACTATTGCATTTATGCCAGCATAAATAAACAATAGGGTTCTGGATGAAGAATAGTATCAAGAAAGTTGCAGGAAGCATTTCTGCTAGTTTATTTTTTAATGCAAGGCAGAAAATAACCAATTCAATTTTAACAGCTTTGGTGTTTATCATGGAATGTCTTTTAACTATTTGCCAAACTGTTTTTCTCTTAATTGTTTAAGAAGTTTTGATGTGTTTTTCAGGCAATGGACGAGTTTTCTGTCTGCTGCTTCAACTGCAATCTACGTTTACATGTATTCCTTTTATTACTACTTTTTCAAGACAAAGTACGTAACCTTTAACATTTCCCATTTAAAAGTAACACAAATCAGCTTCATAAAAATGATCCAATAATTGGCAGCTTACAAACACAAAAATCTTCATTTTTTTTCCTCCCCAGGATGTATGGTTTATTTCAGACATCATTTTACTTTGGATATATGGCAGTGTTTAGCACAGCTCTGGGAATAATGTGTGGTAAGTTTGTTGTTGATGTTATGCCTCCAACTAATGGCAACCCTATGTAAACCGTACAATGAGTGTTTAAGTTCAGAATGTATTTTAAATAATCTTTTCGTCAGAGAATACATAGTGAGCAAAACATGGTGTTATTGTGACGAGATAACGAGCTTGCAAAGCCCAATCTGCCAGTTCAAAGCATAGCCAAGCCTTTTTGTTGTCTAGAGGGAGAGCGGACATTCCCAGAGATCCATGTAACAGAATCCAGAATGAGGATTTGAGTCCTGAAAGTATGCTGATAGGCACATAATACCTCTGAGCATGAGCAGAATTCATTGCCTGCTGTCAAAACTTATGTGTACTGGTGCTGAGATCCTAGCAAGTGGAAGCAGCAGCTCTGAAGAAGATGTTGAAGAAATTCCCCCTAGTTGGTTTGCTGAGATGACACGTATAAAGAGCTATGCACCTGGTCTTCTCTATATAAAAGTACTGTTAGTCTTCTGGGCATCTGGAGATGCTTTCTACAGTTTTGTATGTTTTTTTCCTGTGGGGTGGTATTTCTCATAAAATGTTCTGTCATCTGAAAACAGTGTTCCTGATGCATGTAAAAAGCAAGGATAGCAGTGTTGCCCCAAGAGAAAAATAAATGCAAAACCCAGCTGAGATTTGGATCATTTTGCTGGTTGATGTTCCCGAATAGCTAGTAGTGTTGAAAGATATCTCTCACCGTCCTCCCCTGTGCATCCACAAGAAGCACAGGCTCGAGGAGTCCTCCAGAGCTTCAAACCAGCAGTTTCAGGAGGAGTTGAATCATAGATGGGTCTTGAACATATGCCCAGAATAGTTCTTTGACATTGTGCTTCATGTCCCATGTGCTCAGCATATGCATGATTTCAGTCATATTAGATAACATAAGTTTCATTGGCTGACATCCTGGTGCTTAGTGTAGTAGAGTAAGTCACATTAGAGGAAGCCCACTGAATCAGTGAGGATTTGGTGAGTTATCCCCTCCATAAGTTCCCTTGATTCACATGGACCTACTCTAGTTGCGACTTACCGTGCTATAGTAAGTTGCAACTGGAGTAAGCCCTTTCATATCAATGGAACTTCCAGAGGAGTTGACTCACCAGATCCTCATTGATTCAGTGGGCCTCCTCTAGTGTGACTTACTACACTAAGCAAAAGATTTTAGCTTATGAGTAGGTACACTTAAGTTTCAAATGGAAATGAGCAGAAACTCATGTTGAAGGCAGAACATAATATGTACATGTCCTGAGTTTAATTTTAGGAAGATAATTGCAAATTGTGAGGCAGATGTAACTCATGGACAGAGCAAAGAGAGCTGTTTGCAAAATTTCAGCTGACTGTCCTCTTGCTCCGGTCGCAAGTCATCCGTTTTATAAGAATATAGAGCATAAATCTTTTCATAGAGCTTAGTCCTATGCATTTCTATTCAGTAGCATGGCCTACTGAATTGAGTAATATTTATTTGTAGCAGCTACTGCTTTATTAAACTTTGTTAAATGACTCTAAATTGTATGTATTTGTCATCTTTTTGCAGGAGCTATTGGCTATATGGGAACAAGTGCCTTTGTCAGAAAAATCTACACCAATGTGAAAATCGACTAAGGAAACTGAACTCTGGAACAGTTCATATTTGGGGTGGGGGGTGGGGCAGAGTATATAAACTTGCACACCAAAAAAGCGCAAGAAGAAAACTGTGCGTTTAACACTGGGCACTCTGTGGGTCTCTCTCTCTCTCTCTCATGCGGATCATTTAAAGAAACATCTCTTTTCACTGATCCTAGTTCTTACTGACTTCCTCCAACTGTTCGCGGCAAAGGCTTGGATTGTACTCCCTAGGCATTACCACAGTACATGCTTATCTCCCCAAAAACTAGCTCATAAAGGTGAAATAGACTAGCTCTCTTCAGTGAAGAGGACAAACTGTATTTAAGCATTTGTTCCATTCTATTAAAAAGGAAAGTAAAATATGTGGTTCCTAAAACTCCTGATTAGTTACTGATACTTAAATTACTGTTCTGGAAAGATTTATTCTCTCCAAGTTTTAGCGCTGTTTGACAGGGTAAAGAAACGCCAGGTGGTAACAGGATAACTTGCAATATCACCTACTAAAATGTATTTGTTTAAGAACAGAAATATTTGCATGCAATATCAGTTTAATAGGACCAACTTTCCATTTATTCATCATAAAGGAATTTCCAGCTATATTTGAGAGCCATCCAAAGAAATAATATACAAAGGTAGAATTCTCTGCACTGCAATTTTTGTACAGTTAGCAAGCAAAAATGTTAAATGAAGATGATGCATTTTGTTTTTATTCCACATTTGGAGGTCTAGATTAAAAATAACTGAATGTCTACAATGATTTATTTCTTTTCTCTCCCCCCCCCCGTCTCAGCCACATACTCCCTATCCCCGGTTTGGAGTGTTTACTTGATAATTTAAAAGGGGTAACAAATGTATAAAACATTGAATGATGTAACTTAGATGTAGCTCCCAAATGTATTTGGTTGTACAGATTTACTAAAGAATACTTTTTTTGATGATTCAGTGTACAAATGTGTGAATTTAGGTGGCTTTTTACATCTTGCCTGCTGTTGCATGAAATGTTGGGGGTTTCCTTGCAATGTATGTGTCATGTTTTTTTGTTGACTGAAGCTCTTTCAAAAAGCAAAACCGTGTAATTTATAACAGTTTAATTTTTGTTTAGTTCCCTCTGGACACTTGTGTAATATCTAAAGCAGTGCTGCTTTAAGTGTTCAGAAAATTTAAAATAAACTTTTCAGACAAATGTTCTGATTGTGGAAAAGTAGATAAATTTGCAGTTTATTTTTGTTTTAAGGTAGGACCTCTGAATACCAGTTTCTGAATAAAGCACTCTTTTATTCTTCAGAGAACAAAACCAGAAGGATTGTTGCAGTCTAATTCCAGCCTGCTTTGTTCAGGGGAACCTGTGGCCCATCAGATACTTCTCCCTTCATCCCTGACTATTGGCCATTGCATCTGGGACTGAAAGGAAGAAGACTTCAGCAACGTTGAGGGGTCCACAGTCCCCGTCTCCCCATCTAGAAAGAATTTGCCAGGTTTATAAGAAGCAGGTTCCCATTGAAACAATATAGTATGTAGTGGAAGAAGAGTACTTACAGCAGGCCTTTGGAGCTTTTTGTTTTCAAGATGTTTTGAGGCAAATTTCAGTATGTAACCCCAAGTCATATTTGCTGCCAAGGAGGTATTCTACCCAGAATTCAAATTGATGTGCATTTGTTGATTCTGTAGTGTGTGTATGTGTGTTTGTGTGTGCGTGTGCGTGTGTAAAAGACAGAGAGAGAAGATAAGCTCCTATGGAATTTGTTTTCATATTGAGAAATAATTGTGCAAGAGAAATAAATCCAATTCACAGTAAAGGAATTGAACCTTTAATCTGGAATATGATGCCTCCAATCAATTATTTTCCTAAGGCAGTAGAGAAATATTACATGATTTTAGTCCTCTGGTTTTGGTTATATTTACAGTTCAGTCTATAAACCCAGTCATTTAATTTCTAAATTGTGGGTGAAATCTGTCACAGACTATGGCTGTACTGCTGCTTTTCCTTTCATTGAGGCTTGCAGTGAGCTGAAACACTGCGCAAGCCATATTAATATGATTATAGTTGTTCAGCAGAATTGCGTCTCTATCTGTAGCACATTGTGATGCAGAGAAGATTGGACTGTTACCTCTTTATAGGTTTGCAAACAGGAAATGTTTCTTAGAAGGAGTTAACATTACTAAGAAATCTAATTTGTTGTCATTATTGAAATATTACATTTCTATTCATTCTTGGGTTTTTATGCTTTGTACCCTGTGTGAAAAAAGATATAAATCATATCCCATGTACAGACAAACTGATACCTGTGTTAATAGGAAAATTAAATGATTTTGCATAATATATTTGTTTATGTGGGCATTTATATTCAGCCCCTTTGTGTTGCCACTCTTACGGCTTACAACGGTAATGTTAAAGACAATTACAATAAAACATGTAAAAAACTGGATAGTAGTAAAGTATGTGCTAGAAAACCATGGTAGCAAAATTAAAACTAACATTAGCAGGATTTTAAAGTCAAGGGAAAATAAGAATGCATTCACCTGGCAACACAGAGCATGGCTAGTATTTTGTGGCTCCCTTGGTGAAACATTACGTTCTGTTGTCATAGTTCTGTGTGATCCCTAGCTTGCCATCAGCCAAATAGAGATTGCCCTACTGAAAATAAGAGCTCTTACTCTTGGGCAAGGTAGTACTGGACATCCCCTTGTACAAGCTCAGAAAATATTGATGTGCTAGTGTTGATTGATTGTATTTAATGAACACAATTTTGACTTGTATCTTTAAGAATCAGTCAAAGAGCTTTGGATAAAAGAAGTGCCATTAAGTGAATAATTTTTCTAGTTGTCAGTTCCCTAACTTTTAAAGCTAGGGCCACAAAGTGAAGAACCGATAAAGGTTATCTATATATGCAGATTCTCAATGGAAGATAGATAAGTCCTTGGAACACTTGGGTTATAAGCCAGAGAAGAGTGGTCCTCCCAATTTTGTTGAAGTATAGCTCTCATCAGTCCTAACTAGCATAGCCAGTGGTGAGGAATAAAATTTAGAGGGTCACATGTTGCCCATCTTTAGAGAATGTATAACTTCAAAGGCTGGCACTGATACTTCAGACTGGGAAATGACCTGGTGGCCAGTGAAATTCAAGATCACCAGGCTGTGTTGACTTCTGCTAGACCTGGTCATCTGTCTGTTGTGTGCTGGGACAATGTGAAAATTTTGAGAGCTCTTCAAAGGCAGCTCCATGTGTATATTAGGTTATAAATCAGAAAATATGTTGTTTATAGTTGTTTAATTGTGATAGAAGTAATGCATTATGGTTGCAGTAAAGATGGTGGAAGTGAAGAACAGATTTAAGGAGCTAAATTTGGTGGACAGAGTACCTGAAGAACTATTGGATGGAGGCTGGTAACATTGTACAGGAGGCAGCAATAAAAACCATCCCAAAGAAAAGGAAATGCAAGAAAGCAAAGTGGCTGTCCAACGAGGCCTTCAAATAGCAGAGAAGAGAAGGGAAACAAAATGCAAGGGAGATAGGGAAAGTTACAGAAAATTGAATGCAGACTTCCAAAGAATAGCAAGGAGAGATGAGAGGGCCTTCTTAAATGAACAGTGTAGAAGATATAGAGGAAAATAATAGAAAGGGAAAAACCAGGGATCTGTTCAATAAAATTGGAGATATTAAAGGAACATTTTGTCCAAAAATGGTAGGGACCTTACAGAAACAGAAGACATCAAGAAGAGGTGGCAAGAATATGCAGAGGAATTATACCAGAAAGATCTAGATGTCCCGGACAACCCAGATAGTGTGGTTGCTGACCTTGAGCCAGACAAAAGAGAGCAAAGTCGTGGGTCTTAGAAAGCATGGCTAACAAAACAAGGCCAGTGGAGATGATGGCATTCCAGTTGAACTATTTAAAATCTTAAAAGATCTGTTAAGGTACTACACTCAATATGCCAGCAAGTTTGGAAAACTCAACAGTGGCCAGAGGACTGAAGATCAGTCTACATCCCAAAGAAGGGCAGTGCCAAAGAATGCTCCAACTACTGTACAATTGCAACAATTTCACATGCTAGCAAGGTTATGCTCAAAGGTAGGCTTCAGAAGTATGTGGACCGAGAACTCCCAGAAGTACAAGGTGGATTT